CCCCCATACATTTATTAAGATAGAAATGTATGCCAGAGGAAGGAATGTAAGCTATGAAGCACCAAAGTGCCACAGATGCCTTCTGTTTATAATCTGGTTTTAATGAGAAACATGTTCAAAGTTATTGCTAGCTGACGTAATGCAAAGCTAAATGATTGACTGATGCAGGTGAATGTCATCTTTTACAGAAAACATAGTGGCTCTCTTGGCTGTGATTATGTGAATAGCCTGTGGGAGGGAATCATACTATGATTGTGTAGGTAATGCGGTAATAGAGTTCATTATACAAATGGCAGTAACCTTTCTTAATATATTCTTTTTATTGAGTGAGGCACAATGAGTTACAATTAAAAGGTCTATATTTTTCCTTTCCCCCCTTCCGGTCCTAGCTAGTCAAGTAAAGTAAATAAATAAATACATATATAGGTAAAAATAAAGTAATATAAAAGATAATTTTAAAAAAATGAATAGATAAGGGAATAATAACAATAATACATGTATCAATATACTCACATATGTATACCCACATATACACATACACATATATATGTACACACACACACACACACATACATACATACATACATACATACATACATACATACATACATACATACATACATACATACATACATACATACATACATACATACATATAAAAAAACTCAATGTTGGTTCCTTAATCCATACAATTATTTGGGGGATATTGGCTGCCCAATAGTAGTGTCTTATGTTTGGACCCGCCAATCCTCCTATAGATCTGTGTCTTTGTAAAAGCTCTCTCCTAATTCTAGGAGTCTTCCCTTGCCATAAAAAAGATGAGATTAGTGTGTCTATTTGACAAAAAAGAGATTTGGGTAGGAAGACTGGCAGACATTGAAAGAGGTACAGGAAGCGAGGGAGCACGTTCATTTTGACACAGTTTACCCTCCCAGCAATAGTTAAATGTAAATTATTCCACCTTTCCAAATCATATTTGAGATTGTCAATTAGTGGTAGACGTTGATTTTGCAAAGGTCCGAGAGTTTTCCACATATATTCACACCTAAATACTTAAAATGACTCCGAGACATCTTGAAGGTGATGAGTCTATCTGGGATCTGGAGGGCCAGGTCATTTTGAGGGAAGCACTCACTCTTGGAAAAGTTTAATTTGTACCCTGAAAAGGTTCCGAATTGAGTTAACAGATCAATTATCTGAGGAATGGTAGATATAGGGTTAGAAATGAACAATAGCAAGTCGTCAGCGTATAACGAGAGTATGTGTTCTGAACCATATCTGATAATTCCTTGTTTAAAGCGGGCAGATTTAAGCACAATTGATAAGGGTTCGATCGCCATGGCGAATAGTAACGGGCTTAAAGGGCAACCCTGGCGAGTTCTTCTGCTTAGTGTAAAATATTGAGAATTCATCCCATTACTACTCACTGAAGCCTTGGGTGAAGAGTATAACAATGCTACCCAGGACACAAATTTGGATCCGAGGCTGAACCTCTTAATGACCTCAAATAGAAAGCCCCACTCCACCCTGTCGAACGCTTTCTCTGCATCCAATGAGACTACCACCTCTGGTGTCTCATCGGATGCAGGAGAGAGGCAGTAACCTTTCTGTTAGTTTTGTAAATTATAACACACACTCGAGTTTATAAATGCCCACAATATTAGCATGTTTAAGCCATTAGCACACTGTAACCGTGCCCTCCCGATGTATGCTTCAAGCAGGAAATGAACCATATGCAAAACCGCAGTGACTCTCGTGGGAGGGTTGGCTGCACCCATGGGAGCACTGGGAAGAATGGGATTTATAGAAATATAGAAAACAACATTAAAAAAAAATATGCATGTTGGATTAAAAACATCAAATCAAAGGGCAACTGAGATCTTTAGGCTATCACAATGTATTGTCAAAATTTGGTAAAAAGCAATATTCAGGGATCAGTCTCCTTTTTTCAACTAAGAAGATAGGAGGAATAATGATGAATTGTATTGAAAGTAGTCAAATTATCAAGAAATGATTGCCATATGTTCAAGAGAAAGTATCTGTGTTGGCAAGCCTGTAACATGTTCTCTCTAAATGTTGCATGTTTTCCAGCTCTCTGAGCCATTACCTGAACACAGGAATGTCCTCTTACAACATTGTTTAATAAGGTGTTTAGCCAAGTGAGAAGTCGCTTGCCCAAAATACTTTTTAACAGACTCTTTCATCCCAAACCATCTTTAAGAGTAATAATCTCTTCTTTCAGTTGTCTCTACAACAATCTGGCAAATGAGTAGGAATTTCAGAAAAATATTTACTCAAATGAAAGTTGTGTTAAGTAACTTCTAGTGCACTTAATTTGGCGTTTAGCTCAGGTTAGAGGTCAGCCACTGTCTGTAGGATCTATAAAAAAAGACGTATAAGAGCTCTCTCATTTGGTTGTCCCGATACACAAAGTCTACACAAGAGATTAATTACAAACGGCTTCGTTCAGAGGAAGAT